CCAGTTCTAAGGTTTTTGAAAAAAATTCTTGTTCCTTGCTGCTCAGAAAAAGTTTACTGAAAATATCAGTTCACTAAAAGCACTGAAATCTGCAAAGTCTGTCTTCTGCTAAAATAACGTTTACACATATGGGGATTACTTCTGACACGCAATCATGCGGATGGCGAATGGTTCTGTCAGCTGGCATTGCCTCATTTAAAGTAGGCAAGCTGAGCCACTACAGCCATCGTTAATCAAGTTTTGGATAGTGCTTTAATGATTTGTTCACTTTAATAAAGACAGATTTTGGTAAAGTAGAATATTTTTCACTCTGAGCATGTTTCTCCTAAAGATGATGCAAGTACTTAAGCTGACAGTTCCTTTAGTGGTTTTATTATGTCATGACTTGTCCTGTCTTGATCCTTGCTTCTGGAAGAGCAGCATGCTCTAAGAGGAGAGTGGTTCTCAATTTGGATTGATAATTTTGTTTCGTTGCCTATTTAAAAACAATTAAGTGGTTATTTACAATTATCTAGAATTCCAAGTGGAATGGCTTTGGTTTTTTCCTCATTGGTCCCAGTGGTGGTTGACCTTCTCCAGAGCAGACATTCCCGGGGAGCAGGTGTGTTCTGGCCCAGTTGTAGCACAGGACACGGCTGCTGAGACACCTGTAGGGCTGGCCAGCCGCCGGAAGATCCTCACGCCACTTATGTTAGTTTTGCACATGTTTTCTTGGGAGTGTTACTTGAATCTATCTTGAACTGCAGAGAAAGTCAAGATCAATAGAGAAAAAGTTAGACGAGTGTAACTGTTACATAGTTTTAGATAGAAAGGGTCAACATGTGTATGGTCAGAAGGAGGGGACAGTACAGAAGCACTGGAAGGGTTGTAGGTCTGATCTCGGTTTCCTCAGTCCTTTGAAGACAGGTGCAGTCTGTTGGGATTTTGTATATATTGTGCTAGATGCAGCTGCTCTGTACTGTGAGTAAGTGATCCAGGCCGTGGGGCTTCTCAAGTGCTGAGTGTAGCCGTCCCAAGTGAACGTGGTTTCCACGCTTGCACACGTGTGCTTTCCTT